GATTTTTTACTTATTTCAAAACGGGTTTGACTTGGAAGAAACTAACGGTTTTCTTGATGTAAGACATCATGATTCGCTTGAAACAAGCGAATCGTGTTTTCTTAAGTAAAATAAACGTTGTTTTAAAATAAGCCAACTTTTGCTTGAATGAAGAAACCAGTTTCTTCAAAACTAGTAAACGGCGTGAACGCCTTCCGAGTCCGGCCGTTGCCTCTTTTTAAGTCAACAGCTTGCTTGATAAAGTAAAATGCTTTGCGTCAAAAGAAGATACCAGTTTTCTTAAAATTAGGAAACGGGGCTAACTCCTTTCGAGGCGACCGGATGCAATTAGCAATACACCCGTTGATTTTTTTCAATTCAACAGCTTGCTTGGTACAGTGAAACACGTTGCGTTGAAAGAAAAAACCGGTTTCCTCAAAATTAGTAAACGGGGCAAATGCCCTCAGCGGGGGAGGATGCAATAAGCCAGATGCTGTTGCCTTATTTTAACCCAACAGCTCGCTTGGTAACAAAAAACACGTTGTGTCGAAAGAAGAAACCTGTTTCCTTGAAATTAGTAAACGGGGTGAACACCTTCAGTGGAGCATGATACAATTAGCTAGTCGCTGTTGCCTTTTAATAACCCAACAGCTTGTTTGATGAAAGAAAACACGCTACGTCAAAAGAAGAAACCAGTTACCTTAAAAGTAGTAAACGGAGTGAGTCCCTTCCGCGGGGAACGGATGCGGCATGGGACATGTGCGGTTGCCTACTTTCAATACAACATTTTGCTTCTAAGAAGAAACCAGTTCCCTTAAAATTAGTAAACCGGATGGTGACGCCTTCTATGAGAATGATGCATGCAATTGCTGCCAGATGCATGCCGTTAGCATCTGCTTAAACCAACACCATTTATGACGGAATAAAAGGAGACGGAAGTTAAAAAATCAAGATGCCCATTATAATTGTCTAAAAAATAATTGTTATTTAGGGAGAAATTCATTCAATGTGTCCTTTGAGAAATCACTCATATGCTCGGCGTCGACAAAAAATTAAATAAATAAAGAAGTAAAGAAGGAGAAGAAGAGGAAAATATTTGCATTGTTTTAAATAGATCGGCATTCTGCATTTGAAGTTTTAATTTTTACTTTTAAGTGAAGGGGGCCTCATTAAGAGGACTTAATACTTGCATCAGTTCAGTTTCATCGAACAATGTATTTCTTCACACTAAACAATCGCATTTTTTTTTTATTTTCTTCCTTACTTTTCCTGTCCTGATGAATGGAAGATCCCTCGCAGATAGAATTAAAAAGTGTCAAATAAAAGGTATGCTTATGCCAAGGGCCGAGGAAGGAATTAAAAAATGTGGAGAGAATCATACTTTTCAGCATTTTACCCACCAAGTTGACAGATAAAGATAATCGAATAACTCTGCTGCTACGTAGTGTATACACTGTTCAATATCGATTTGCCGGGTCCCTTTGATTTATGGACGTGACGATGGAGTGGATCGAAAAAAATAAAGTTTTTTCTGTATTTTCGAAAGGAATTTGCAAGTGCAAAATTGTTGATATTTAAAACTTTGATTCATTGGTGTCCGGGGAAATTTTGGGTCGAAGGGCCTGTTGGGACCGATCTCCCCCTCCCTTCCTCAGTCTTGTACGGATACTCATAAGAGCTCAACATGTTTTACCGTAATTGAAGTATTTAAACCTTTTCACCTTGTTTCCCTGCAAAATAGGGTGGATCCATCCAGCACTTCTTTACCACCTTCCTATCAACTTTAGAGAGTGTAACGAAAAGGAAGTGCAGCTATACAATAAAACATTAGAACGTCACGCGTGTGATTATGTAAACTGAGTAAAATATAAGAGTAAACGAAGATTGAACTTTTTTTATGAATAAATTGTGACTGTCCACGGAAAAAGATGCCTTAATCCAAAAAATCTCAAACCTTAATTTTCAAATCTTATATTTTAAAGTAAGGAATTAGAACTATTAATGTTTCTTTTAAAGTTCTCACATTCTTTCTTTTCCGCCCGATGTGAATTAATTAATTAGAACTATTGAATAGAACTATTAATATTCTAATTGAAATAGAAAAGTCTAATAAATGGTCCAGAATATTCTTGAATATTATAGTCGAATTGAATAGGACTTTTAATATTTAAAAAAATGTAACAATCTCAGTCATCAAAAATAAAAAGTTATTATGTTACAAAAATTTTCGAAGAGTTTCATTCTTTATTCGTATTTTTTAAAGTCAGCGATTCTTCAAGGAAAATGAAGAGAGAAAATTTTAAAAAAGGTGAATTGTATTAAATTCTTTTTAAAAAGATTAAAAATTAATATAAGATGGGAAAGAAAAAAATATAAACGTGAAAAAAGTGACGACAGTAACACGCGTATTTCTTATTTGCTCCAAATTCATCTTTTCGAGTTCAAAAAATCTTAACCCATCAGGTCTCACGCATATTCACTATCACAATAATGGTGAGAGCCTAAGTCAATGACTTATATAGTGTAAATTCGGCCAACTGAGACATAAGCCTCGATGGCTAAGTAGGTAGGCTGTTAGGTTCGTAAACTGTAGGTCCCAGGTTCAAATCCCGATAGGTAGGCCAAAATTTGCAAGTCGGTACTTGCCATGTCGAATCTTCGATACTTGCAGATACATACAATTCTATAATTTTTTTCATCAAAAATTCGATAAATTAATCCATTTTTTGCAATTATTGATTAATAATAATACATATGGTATGGGTGCAGTGTGCATACCTGCAGTGACTATTACCTAACTAAATTTAAAACAACAATTGGGTAGAAATAAGTAAACGCGTCTGAGAGTTATGCAACATCCATTCTTGCCGGGCGTCCCCGTTTACTAATTCTAAGACAACAGTTGGTTTCACTAAAATAAACGCGCATTCCCGTCCAACACGCTGTTTACTAATTTTAAACCAACCATTAATTTGAAGCCAGTAAATGCACGTGGGAGTTACGCAACCGTTTCCTATTTCTAAGTAAACAGTTTATCTAGATCAATGCGACAGATACTCACTTCAAACCTACGATAATTTCTTAAATTTAGGAAATACTTTCACGGCATGGAATGTTTCCTTTTTTCAAGTAAACGCTTTCTTTTTTTAAGAGAACGTGGAGCGTTGGCTTGAGAAAACGCTATTTCTTGATCCAAGGTAACTCCGATGTCTTAGTTCAAACTTCAGTTTCTTGTCGATACTTTTTAAGTATCCGGTTTACTTGGTCTAAGACGGCTCCGCCTTTTATTTAGGAAACATTTTTTTCAGTGTAGCTCTCCTTGCAAACAGCCTCCTCTACAAATCATCCAAACTCCAGTACCAACTAAACAATCTTCTCTACCAACAAACTCACAAACGTCTCAGAACTCTTCTCAACAACAAGGCACTCAAGCATGTAAGTCCTCACAATCTCAACATACTCTAGAATCTCAAACAAGCCGAAGCTCTCCGCAAGTTCAAAGTCAACCAAGTAATGATCGGTCTCCGCCCAAGCAACAATCTCCAATCTCTCTACAACAATCTAACAAAGCTCTAGTCACTCCAACCAGTCAAGCAAGACCTCTTAATGTCAAATCTCCCGAAACATTTTTTACTCCAGATGAAACAGCAGTTGTTATTACTTTAGATGAATCACCGCCCAAAAGTACAAATCGTACCCCACTATCTAGTGTATCTCGACCCCCCTCAGTAGGTAGAGGTCGGGCAATAATTAGAAAATCTATCAGACCTTCCAAACCTCCAGATCGGTATACTCCTCCTTAATCTATCAATACATACCAATCTGTCTGTAATAGTTCACTCTATTGAAATTTTATTGTTTAAGAGGTATAAATACTCTAACACATCTCCTGCCCTTACAGCTCTTGAATTGTAAATCCATTCTCTCTGTTTGTTTTTTCTTGTACATTTTAAATCAGAGCTTAAATCTTTCTTGTATGTTTTCCTTTTAAAATCCCTCAGATTTTAAAATGGGCAGGGAGATTGTTATGTAGCAGTTGGTAGTTTGTATGAGTAGTGATATTGTCGCTACTTAGGTGTCAGGCCTGCTGGGCAAGGTTGTATCTTTATCAATACACTCTATGGTTATGTCACGCAACTCGTGCTCTCCTCTTTTCCGTCATCCTTAATTTCTTCCGATATAACAGCATCCTTAAAGGATCCCGGACCCTCTTTATGGGAAAGTGCACCACGATCGACTTTTAATTTTTTCACAGCATTCAATTCATTTTAAGATGCTGATCAAAAATTGAAATTGCGCCAACTCTTTACGATGCACCGTTTTCGCACAATACGCCTGGAACGCTTCAATTCTTTGGCGATAAAAAGTCAAAAAGAACGAGGCATTCGAGAACAGGTCTGATTTGAATAAGGAAAAACGTAGCGCGTTTCTGTCTTCTTATCTATTCCCGTCTACTCTGGGGCTATCTCCCTCCCGCTTTCGTCCGTTTGATGTTTACTGTTTTTCTCTGACTTTCCTGTTCTTAGGTATGCTACTCACGAAACTGATTTGGATGATCAAGCAGAAGAGAGTGCAGAATCCAAAATGAAACTGCTCCACGGTGCTGGAATTCCCCTGATTTCCTTGTTGATACTTGACACACAGCTGACCGTTCACTCGAGTGCTGAAATGAGGAATTTTTCTGGCTCTTCAACGCCGAATAATTAAAGCGTTCCGGGCGTAGAGTGCGAAAACGGTGCGTCGTAGAAAGTTGGAGAAATGATGACGTTTGATCAACATCTTGAGATGAATTGAATGCAATAAAAAAATTAAAAATGATCGTGGTGCACTTTTCCATACCTAAGGAGTGTGCGGGGTCCGTTAGAAAAAGTTTTCATCTAGTGTATAGGGTAGCGCCCTTCACAGGTTGAGCCGCATAGCGGCCAGAGTCATCAACCTCCTTAGTTATTAATAGGTACTTTCATATGGTAACACGTTCATAATGAAATAGGTAGATATTATTTATAGTAGCGAGTTCTTACCTAGATCACTAACGACAGTTGCTTCTAGACAGTAAACAGATACGTTGTAATACTTATTAGGGTAGTTGGGCATGTACAGACGTCCATCGGGCAAAATCTCATAGAGATCGTCAGAATCCTCCTCAGGATTGAGTACGAACATATCTTGGCAGTCTGGTCTACCTATAAAAGTAAATCCAGTGGAGAAGTTCGCAGTAAAATCTTGATCATCATTTCTGAGGCTGAAGGGCAGGTTAATTTTGTGCAAATCTGAGGGCATGCATTTGTCACCAACCATAGCTTCACCTTCTTTACAGCATTTTCGCCAGCAAGTGAGTTTCTCACAAACGCACAGCCTAACAAAAAGAAGAGGAATGATCTTATAGTTTTTCCCCTTGACGTTTGTGCGTCTATCGACTTCGTTTTTTTTTAAAAAAAAAAAGTGGCATGCTATCGACAATGGATATATGTATAGAGCATCGATCTATCAATTATGTCGGTCTACCTTTATATTCAAAATTCGATCAGGACTGGCTCCAGGTATTTTTCAAGGACGCTCCGGTGGGAAAGGATTTGATGGAGTTCCCCGGAAAGTGAGGGAAGGTGGCACAGAGCCTCGGGAAAAGTTTGAAACTGTAGGGTTTCTCCGATGATATCATTAACCAAAGCCTTACCTATCAACCGAGTCGGAACAGACCTGATGGTGGGTGTAAAAAAGTTCGCAATTTTCCTATTTTGTCTTCTACAATTCATGCTGTGCTTTGCGAAGTCATCCACAAAAATCCTCTTGAGTCGGGTTCTTGCTAACATGGCTTAGAAAGAAATAAATATGTATGTTGTGGTCACGGGGATTTTTCATCCATCACCCCTTAAATTTCCAAGCATGTCTCTTAGGTAAGTTACGTTCAATGTCCTTGATAATTGGACTTGAATCTATTAATAAAACCGAATTAATAAATAAATGGATAATAAATAAATAAATGGATAGATAAATAGATGAATAAGTAAATGAAACGGTGCAATACTGCAATACCTAAAGATGAAATAAAAAGGAAAATTTTATAGGCCCTAATTGAAAAAAATAGATCTAAGTTGAGTATTTAAACTTGCAAGAAGTAGATATAGGATTCTCTTTGGAGGAAATTGTCAATCGTCATTTGTATCGCATAGGTACAACAGCTTTTTTTGAGAATAATCCTCGCCTCATTTCCCTAAAAATTTCAATTTTTTTGGTCGCGAATGATTCGTATGAGGCTCATGCGTTGGGGCCATCATCTTTCTTGGTTTTTAATTTTAGTCAAACTTGACCGAGATTTTTTTACTTCATCAGTGCAATTCATCGCACGCCATTTTGACCCTGCTAAGAGCTCGGGACGAATCACCTTACCTTATCCGAACTTTAATCAGCATGGTTTAAAATGAAGCCGTTCATCATTTTTTTAACAGTTATCCACGCCTCTTAGTTAATTTAGATCCATCCTGTGGGGTAGGTACCTAATAAGGGGCCGTTCATGCAATAAATAACGCTAAATTCGGGATTTCTTTAGCCCCCCGCCCTCGTGACGCTTTTGTTAGCGCGTGACGTTTGACGTTAGCAGTCTTTATCCCTTTATCGATAAACATTCCTAGTAGCCAAAATACATGTTTCATGTACTTATCAAGTATACATTTATATTTAATACTTATTTAATATTTACTTACACATGACTAGCGACCCTTACGTGCTTCGCACGTAGCAGTTCATGCAGACTGAATGACAGGAGAAAAAATACGGCGATTCTCGGATTCAGCTGCCAAAATTACACAAGAGCCATTTATCGCATTCTTACTCAAGTTTCCTGTCTGTTCTTACCATCAATATTTTTTCGGACAAGTGATCCTTTTCGCCCTTCTAACGTCATACAGGGTGATCCAAAAGTCCCTTCCACCCCCCCTAACTTTTTACTTAATTGAGGTAAAGATTTGAAACTTGGGGGATAATCCTAGGTCAAAGGGAGCTACTTTTTGGCCCCCCTAAAATTTTCAGGGGGCCTCCCTTGGGGGGGGGGAACGGACCCCAACTTTTAAATTTCAAATGGGAAGACCCCTTTTGTGATAGCTCGTTCGAAAGAGCATAAGAAAAGAAAACTTTTCGCGCGAACCCGAAGTCAATATCTCAAACCGTTTCAAAATGGCGGCCGGTTAAAGTTCAAAATGGCCGAAAATTCACACTGGTTATTTGTCGATGGATTTGCGCGGAAATCGATATGCAGGGGTATTTTGACACGAGAAAAACGAATTTGACGTTAGATTTTCAAAAAACCAAAATTTCCAAAATGGCCGCCGCTTAAAGTTCAAAATGACCAAAAATTGATTTTTTTTTAGAAATCTAAGTTCAAATTTGTTTATCTTATGCCAAAATACTCTCAAATTGCAAGTTTTAGGCAAATCCATCAGCAAAAAACCGAGGTGACAATTTTCGGCCATTTTGAAGTTTAACCGGCGGCCATTTTGGAAATTTCGGTTTTTTTGAAAATCTAACGTCAAATTCGTTTTTTTCGTGTCAAAATACCCCAACATACCGATTTTCGCGCAAATCCATCGACAAATAACCGGTGTGAATTTTCGGCCATTTTGAACTTTAACCGGCCGCCATTTTGAAACGGTTTGAGATATTGACTTCGGGTTTGCGCGAAAAGTTTTCTGTTTTTATGCTCTTTTGAACGAGCTATTACAAAGGGGGTCTTCCCATTTAAAAATTAAAAGTTGGGGGCCGTTGCCCCCCCAAGGGGGGCCCCCTAAAAATTTAAGGGGGGCCAAAGAGTAGCTCCTTTTGACTTAGGAATATGGCCCAAGTTTCAAATCTTTACCTCAATTAGGTAAAAAGTTAGAGGGGGTGGAAGGGACTTTTGGATCACCCTGTATAAAACTCATCCCATTGTTATATGCGACAGAGAAGAGAGGAAAATTTTATTTCTCACACAACAAGTGGAGTTATTCCCACTCAATTCTTGACGCAGCAGCCGAAAATGATCCTCGTTCTCTTCCAAAACCTTCGAAAAAATCAATACCTATCCAAAAAGAGGAAATTTTTTTGAGTTGAAAATCTATTTTTCAAAAAGTAAGTAGATTTTAAATGAAAAATAAGATCATTTTCGGATTCAGAGGCAAAAATTGAATGAGAGTCAGCCACTAGTTACCAGGAAAAATTTTTTCCTTATTTCCTTTCCGGCGCAAAACAATCGGATGAGTCATACATGGTGTGCAATGGGCGAATAGGAGCACTGGTCTGGAAAAACCTCTATATTAGAATTAGAAAAGAAACTTTAATAAGCATGCAATACTAAATTTCCTAAGTGATTTTGGTTGCTGAATCCGAACGCGGATTCAGCTTTTTTCCATCACGCACATAGATTTTCCGGAACATTGATACTTCTCTGGAAAAGCTAGGTTTGTAGGATTACAAAATATTTCAGGGGGAGCATCAGAACAAAGATCTACTCTCTTCAAGAGCAAGATAAATTTTAAGACGAAGAGTAACTATAGGGAACCTCATGAAAGGAAATAAACGGAGAAGAGTGAATTTTCCGGGAGAATCTGTGCACGATGGAAAAAACCTATAATTTTTTCAATTTCGTAGCCTAAGATACATAAGAGACCATGTATTGCACCCCTATTAAAATTTCCTTTCTTTTCCTAATACCAAGGTCTTCCAGTCCAGTTTCATTAAAAGCAATTAATTAGTCACCGAGAAAGTGTTTTATGCCACGGCCGCCATCTTAGATTTTCGAGTCTTAGAAAGACTAAAAATTCGATTTTCCCATCACAAATACCCCCGGGTTCCAAGTTTCACTTGAATCGATTGATTAGGTGCTAAGATAGCATCTTAGGCCACGTCCGCAATCTTGGATTTTCGAATCTTGAAAATTTGACTAAAAATTCGAGTTTCCCACTGAAAAATACATCAGTTCACCCAATTTCACTAAAATCGGTAGAAAAGAGCGACTACAGGGCTTAAACAAGGAAGTGTCAGTTGTAATAGTTTTTCACTCTGCCCCACTAGACTGGGACACTGGGATAGGATGGAAACATATGGGACTGAATGAAACGGGACATGATGGAAATAAGCTGTTTTTTAAGCTTATCTCTAAGAGTAAACACAATTTTGGTGTTTTTTTCACGGAATATTTAAAAGCACATCCTAGAGTAGGTATCGGAATAAGAAAAAGTTTTCCCCAACGCACACTTCGAAAGTATTTTACGAGCTGATATTAGTGTGTGTATGCTTGACGCCCTGTTGGTTATCGTGTATAGCATTATGTTTGGCATAATTAATGGCGTTAATCTTGCACAAAAATTTGCGAATTTCAGAATTTTTGCCATCTGTGACGTGTGAACTATTCAGTCGAAACAAGAAAGTCGTTTTTGAAAAAACCTCAACGTTACGGCAATCATTTAGACCCAGATAGCACAAAATATTTTGAAAATATTGTCAACTTTATCAAAATATTTTCATGACAATATTGTAATTAAGATATTTTCAAAATATTTTTAAAATGGTTTTAATAAATTTTTAGGGAATATTTTGAAAATGTTTACAAAAATATTTTTAAAATAATTCAAAAATACTGCCTGTAAACATTTTTAAATATATTCCTTGCAAAGTTTTGAAAATATTTTAAAAATATTGTCTTGAAAATATTTTTAATTTCTCAAGTTAGTGTGTGGTGTAATTTACACCAGTGTAAATTTAGTGTAAGTACCTATTACGTGATATCGAAAAAAAAAAATAACACGAAAAAAAATAATACGAAAAAAACAAATAACACGAAAAAAATAAGTAATAGGAAAAAGAAAGAAGCCTGAGCAAACACGGCGTTAATCAAAGCTGTGATGAAAGTTGAGCCGCGCACTGACGCAATGCATGCTATAACAGCCTTAACAGGCGTGATTTTAGCCCCTTTCATCATCTGATCCCTGTGGCTCAGTGGTAGAGTGTTGGGCTACGACATTCGAGATTCTGATTCAAGTCCACACGAGGGCGTCCGGATATTTTACGCTGCTAAACGTCGCAGGACTTCAGGTAAGTGGTTCATACTATTCAATACTTGTAGTATACTTGTGTAATTCATGTTTCAAATGTAATACAAGTGCAGAACTGTGACAATTACAGTCAGTGCCTGTACTTCCACATCTACTTGACAGAGTGCGCTGAGTATACAGACGTGTAAGCAGAAGCAAGTAGTACTCTTAATCGTTGATAGAGGGCGCATGGTACTAATAGGTAAAATGGTAAAATATTTTCAAAATATTTTTAAAATATTTTGAAAATATTTTAAAAAAATTTTAAAAATATTTTGAAAATATTTTAAAAAAATTTTAAAAATATTTTAAAAAAATTTTAAAAACATTTTTGTGCTATCTGGGGAGCTTGTTACATCGTTGCCAGGTCTCTCCTGACTGTCACTGGGGACAATGATTCTAGCGCGTGGAAAAGTTATTGATGGAGCAAAAAAGGAATCGACATATTTTTTTTCTCAAATTAAAAAGCATCACCTATCATCTCCGATAAAGTTTTCTCAAGTAGTTACTCTAATTATATTGTAATATCGATTTAAAGTCAAGAACCAGGCACAAGAAACACGCAAATTTGGGACAAATGTACACAATTTGCACATTCAAAGTTCTCCTAAAGTATTTTAGTCCAAATAAAGTGGAAAATAGCATGTACTTACCTGATAGTCAACAATAGTGTGAAAAATGAGAAAAAAATTTGATCTGCCCATGTTTCTCAGATTATGACGAATAAAACAGCTAGCTGGGGACACCAGATTAGACGCATAACCCCACTGAATTCACCCACTTAAGTTATATGGTATCTAATACCCTTTAAAAAGGACACTTTATAGGATAGGTATTTTAATATATGATATTTTATACCTATATTCAGCTGTTTAATAGGTACCCTATTTAATAGGTATTTGACTATGTATTTTTTCATGTCTTGATAGGTATTATAAATCATATTTTGGCTACTATAGGGACGTAAAAAAATGGCTTGACGCTCTCATCAACCCTCTCCCCCTCTTGGGCATTTCGTGTTTATGAGTGACCCTTAAAATACAGCCGGCGTCTATGAAAATTACAAGACGCGGTTTTGAGAGCTGTAAAAATAGGGGGTTGCTAACAGATGTTAAAAAAGAGACATAGGTTATGAGTTACCTGTAAACTCCATTAGTGGAATTCCAGTACAAGTCAGAAGTGTACAAGGCACCGCGGAAGAGGAGACTCCCATTCGGGTATTCTTCGTAGCTTCCCTGGTCAAGTTTGATGCTCATGCGTTCGCTGCAAGGAAAAGGATCAACGGAACCAGCATACTCAATATTCAAAAGACTCAAGAAGGAAACAACCAGAGTAAACCTCATTTTCGCCATGGACGGACACCAGAAGTCCCACACGGATGATCGTGAGCAATCAGAACATAAACCAGATTATGCTTTAAAAGTGCAACTCGCGACAACAAAACTTAACATTAACCCGTGAATTATGTAAAACAGATAACCCATCGTAAGATATAGATTCAAACTTATACATAACGCATCCTTAACAAGCCAGTAAGTTTGCAGAGGTTACAGGATCAGTAGGGTGACTCACCTAGACAAAAGAGGTATGAGCGACCTAGTGATTACGTCGTTTCACAAAACAAAGTAATGATAGTGAAAAGAGATGGTCATTCACGGTGGCAAGCATGCATCTGCCGCGGCCGTCAGCACAAATCTTATCCGGCACTTTTAGCGGCCTTGCGATAAGCGACTACTGGAAAACGAGGAACTCTATACTGCTAACCGCTGGGCGGGGACCGGACGAATACCAGCATATCGTGACGTTGCCAGATTTCAGTTATTTTCTTTGATCTAAGAGCGATAGCAAAATTTCGAATGTCTACCTCATTTTGCTCAGAAGTTAGAGGGTTGGTTGCCAGAGATACAAAATGAAATATCATGTTTCTAGAAACTTAAATTTCATTTCCCATGAGACTTCAGTGGTTTCACAGTTGCTGTGTATGCAACCTGTATCAATGACCCTAGAATTTTGTCAGAAACGTTGAAAATTGACCTATAACCTTTCTGAGAATTTCAAAATTATGATTTTTCAGATTTTATGCGTTTCACTGCAGAGTTGCTAAAAGAAATTTCATCGAATGAAATTTCGTGAAATTTCACAAGAAATTTCATAAAATTTCTTTTTTCCTCATGAAATTTCTTTCGACCGACAAAATGTCAAACATTTTCTCTCAGATTCAAGAAAAAGTAAAATACCTACCTACTTACTCATCTCAAAATCTAGCACTTCAAAGTTCAAAAATATAGGTACTCTACTTTTGTGTCAAATATTTCCTATTTAAAAAAAGAAATACGTTAGCGAAGGAAACTGTCAATTCCTGAAAAATCATTTAAATTGTTTTAAGGATAGTTTTAGATCCCTCCCTCCCTTTTGTACCAAGAAATAACGTGAAACTATCAGGGGGCACTAGAATTCTTTATAGTCAAGTTTGTTTTGTTCCAAATGAAAGCTAACGTTTTACTTTATCCGTAAAATTTATTTTGGTGTTCAACCAATACGGCTGTGTGTTCAACCAAAATTTGAGAAAAAAAATTAAAATTATGTTTTTGCTGTTTTACTCAACTTTCTGGACATTTCTGAAGTTCCCTTTCACAGTTTACCACGTGTGTTTAAAGAGACTTAAGGAGATTCATAAGTTTCTAGGGTTTAATCCTGACTTCTGTGTGTTAAATAAAATTTCTTGAAATTTCCTCATGAAATTCCTTTTTATAATCTTTCACGAAATTTCTTAACTCTGGTTTCACGCTTTCACGGCATAGTTACTTACTTGGATTGCATTTTGAAAGAAGGAACCTAGAGCATTCCGATGTTGCAAGGATTGTGCAACTTACATTATTTGCAGTAAAATTACTGAAACATGCAAAAAATTAAATTTATCAAGGTAATTTTTGTCGCGAATTCATAGTTTATTGGGAGTATAAAGTTAGTCCTTGTTAAGATGATCATTTAATATTTGCAAGGTAAAAATGGTTGCACAATCTTAGCGACATTGGAATGCTCTTGATTCCTTTTTGCAAAATGCAATCCGCTTAGCCCATTGCAGAAGTTAAAATAATTTCATGTTTCACTATGAAATTTAATTTCTTAAAGTTTCATGAAATGTTCCATCTCTATTAGTGATGGCTGCTGCTGGCAGTCAGGAAAATTGGGATCATATGCTGAATGTAGAAACGGCATTAGTGCCTCTGTTGAGATATCTCGGATCCATAGAAGTTAGCGTCCTGTCTAGATCTGGTACATAAGCTGGCATACTACGTATAAATTCTGTTGAATTTTAAATAGAGGTGATAGGTTAGTGAAAATTGATAGAAGCAAAAGCATTGTAACTGAAGAGTGGAATTTCAAAACCTGGCAAGGGCGAACAGGTGGTACCAAGATTGTGCGCAGCTTTTTCTCTCGATGAAAAGGCACTCAGTGACGTGAGAATCACTGGCGTCGTGAAAATAACACTGAACTTCAAATACCATTTTGTGATAAAAGGTCCATTTCGTTGAGGTAATTCATCAGGGACTGTATACCTATAGAATTTCAGTCGGTATGTTACCTACACCATATTTTGAATTTCTAATCTTTAATTGGTGAATTTAAAGGTGAACTGAAATTAAATGAAGTTGATTTGACATTCTGGATGTAAAAAGAATGTGCGAGAACTTATAAATTGCTCAAACACCTGCCACAGCAGTTAATTTTACATATTAGCATTGCTGAAGTAACTGCTGAAGTGGGTAATTCTGCATTTTATAAGTTCTCGCACACTTTGTTTAGATCCAGAATGTTAAATCAACTTCTATTTTTTTCGTGGTGAATTTTCAAAAACTAAAGGTGATTTCTTAACACATGGAGTGACGCCATTGCGCAGGTACCTGTGAATTTTGGTTTTTTTTTGAAAATTCTCGTTTAAAGAGCGTTCATAAATACTTAACGCCTTTTTCCGGCATTTTCGATCCCCCCTCCCTTGTAATGCTTTGTTTAAAAAACCCGGACCCCCTTAATAATTACGTAATCTGACTCTAGGTCAATAGGTCCCGGGTTCGAATCCCGGTGGTGGCGACAAATTTTCATGGAACTGACGAGTGGATCTGTAGGTAAGCAGAATTCGCTCGGCCTTAATCCCTGAAAATTTGTAAGCCCGAGCATGGATGTCTACCAAACTCCCTGATGTCTTCGGACAATAAATAGTGCCTATAGATTCCTAAAGGAATAGAAGCCACTAAACTCTCAATAAAAAAAAAAAAAAAAAAAAAAAAAAAAAAAAAAAAAAAAAATTACGTAACGTTTCATGCATACCCTTAAGACTCTAAAAAATGGGAGATACGGTTGAATATGCCGGCATATAATTTGAAGTAATTTTTAAGAAAGCTTGACAAGGAAGGTTTTTTTTTTAGAGTCAAGGTTTATTTGACGCTGGGACTGACCCCTGTAATGCAGATTCACACCCCTTCCCGCCACCTAGAGCGTTGCGCATGTAATACATGAGCGCTCTCTCTTGTATCGAGGCGTTGTGTATGTTGGCTACTTAATACCTACTTGAAAAGTCTTTTTATTGCTACAATGTATTGCAATGAAATTTTTTGCATCGCAAATTTGGCTCATTCATTTCTCAAACATAGAAATTATTTGATTGATCGTTTAAAATCGGCATTTATCGACCAGATGATGTGATTAAAATATTGAAATCTCACAATAAAAAAAAAATGAAATTTAATTGCTTTACATTGCAAAATGTTTTCACTACTTTTGTAGCCCTGTGTTATTTTGAAACTTTTACCTGCTGTTCTAAATCTGTTCGCAAATTATGAAAAATCTTTTTTTTTAATTTTACTTTTTTTCACGGTATCATGCTAGAGTCACTTCTGATATACCTGAGCGGCATGAGTTGTTGATTTTTACCTTTGGCAACTATGTGATGAACTGCGCATTGTTTACTCTGCACTGATTGTGAGCGAATGTTTTCGATACCTTCCACGGGATTGACACGAACCTTTACTACCTGATTAATGGAGATGTTGAATATGTGAGGAATTCGCGATTTGACTATTGATTCTTATGTATAAGTTCGCGAGAAACACGATGGTGCCACTGGTTTTCTCTGAAATCAACTCCCAAGCTCCAAAAAAGCTCCCAAGTTGAGGCCAACATGGAGCGGATATCCCACGCTATCCTGGGAATCCACGTCTGCATCAAGACAAACTCTCCATGCAAAGATAGGAAGCAAATACATTGACAGGGCTGCCACTTTATTTGGGGACTCTAAAACTGAAATCACGGCAACCCTGTCAATGTATTTGCTCCCTATCTTTGCATGGAGAGTTTGTCTTAATGTATACGTCGACTCTATCAGGATAGCGTGGGATATACCCTCCATTTTGGCCTCAACTTGAGAGCTTTTCATGAGCTTGGGAGTTGATTTCAGAGAAAACCAGTGGCACCGTCGTGTTTCTCTCGAACTTTTACATAGGAATCTATGGTCATATCGTAAATTCCTAACACAAGCAACATCTCCATTCTTGCCGAGCCGAGAGTATGGGTATACACTAGGGTTTCCAAAAAGAAGGTCGACCCTCGAAAACTTACGTCTCCTGGTTAAAAATGTGTTCCATTTAATTAGAAAACACTTTTGCGGCCAAGTTGCAAATTTTAGGATTTTTTTGTGGTTTCCCCAAGGGCTGTGTAACTGAACATTACATACTTATATTAAAGGATGAACCAACTGTGGGATATACTCCCAAGGGAGCTTTCAAAGGCAGAAACCCCAGAAATTCGTTCGCGCGCTTCGCGTGAATTTTCAAAATGTCGTTTTTAAGCACTTGGACCGAGCTCAGAGGCATCATGGAGTTCCGTTGATTTCGAATGTGTATTCGAGAATTTCGCGAATTTTGGCATATTACGCAAATTCTGGTGCAAACTCGCCAGTTTACACCACGAATTCGCGAATTTCGACGTAATTTGCGCTGTTGCCGCCCGGTCGGCCGCGGCGCGCGATTTACACCACGCTTTCGTGGGCACGGGCGCCCTTCGCGCGGGTAAAACGCGCTTTATCTCGGCAACCATTCCTTCGATTTTAAATCGAATGCGGTCTCGTTTGGAAGCTACTATTAAGACCATTTCAAATACTTAATGTGTTTTATTACATTTACTTCAGGGCCAGATTAAGGGTAGGGACGGCAAATTTTGCAATTTTTTCAACTTATGTACGATGGAAAAAAAAAATAATACAAACGGGAAAAAGCGGCAAAAACTTTTTTTACCGAGTGGAAATATGTAGTAATTTCTAATTAAGTCGTCTTTCGGTGGTGCGCTGGTGCATACAAGAGGCGGCAGCTTTCATGATCCGAGTGTAAGAGAGAAACCGAAAACGCAGTTTGGCATAATCTGGAGCGGCGCGGCGCAGTGAGCAATGATGAGGAGGACTCCAGAGGGGAAGGAGAAGCAAGAAGCCCTCGGCCCGGCGGCGGATTCCCCCCCCCCCCCCCNCCCCCTGCTAAAAATGAGTGTAATGCTAGCCTAGCATTACACTCGTGCGT